GGTAACATGTGGCACGTGCCATATTAAGTGCATATACACTCCTTTGAAAGAGTTCCAACACAGGGAAGACTGGTGTAGACTAAAGAGACAAAGAAGGAAAAGTATGAGAGAAGTGGTAGGATTTGAGCTGGACTTTTAGACATGGGTGGAATTCACATAAACAAGGAGGTAGAGAACAGTCTAGGTTATGACAACAAAAGGCATAGAAGCAGGAATAAGAAGAATATATATAAGGCGCCTAGTTCAAAGTCAGACAGTCAAAACTGAGAAATGTCTCTATTTCGTCTTTTTCTCTACCCCCAATAAATCTACAAGGTATGACATCCTCCTATCATCAACGGTGGCAGTAGACAACAGTAAAGATTTTCACATCTGCAAGTTGTGATACTAGAATTGGTTTACAAAGAAGGCAAGAGAAGGTAGGGTAAGCACTTATGATCTGACTTTAAAATTTTAGATGTTAGGGAATAAAGGAGGCAAGTGGTGAGTAAGAAAAACACTGACAGAAACAGCCACGTTCAAACTTGAAGCCAGAGTCATTAAGACATATCAGCCTTAAAATGACACATATCAAAATGGTTAACTGGAGATGTGGAACTGGCATTGAGGAGAGCTGAAAGCTTAATAAATACTTGGGTATCATCAGCATATGGATGACAGGGGGTACAGAGACGGAAGGAAAAGGGGTGGAGGGGAGTACAGAGAGAGAGAGAGGGAGAGGCCCACACATAGAGTCTGTCTGTCCATCTGTCCCTGGCAAAGGCAACGGAAGCAAAAGGTCAGAGAGGTAGGAGGATATTTAAGAGAATAAAACCCAAGAAAGCTGTATAATCAATGCAGGAAGGAAGAAGAGACTTGGCCTTAAGATTATTGCTGGCTTGGGGAGAAAAATCAAAGCACAGTAGTATGGGTAAACAGCAGAATGAAAAAATGCTACACAAAGCAATAAAAGTAGAGAAAAATAGATTGGTATTAATAGCAGCAACAGTCAAAACAGGTGGCACATTTTCAAATTGGAGGGGTCCTATGTGCCAAATCCTATGCTGACTCTGATAGAAGTTAGAGAAGAAAGAGCTGGAAGATGAAGGGATGCTAATGAGCAGATGACAGTAGGGTACAGAATAATAAAGCTAATCAGAACATTTAGGGACTACTTACCAGGTGCCAATCACTCTGTGAGGTACTTAACCTACAAGACCTGATTTTATGCTTACACCAGCTCTTAAGTATTTGGTATTTTTATTATCCCATGTTATAGAAGAGAAAATTAAAGTGTAGAATGGTTAAATTACTTAAGATCACAAACCTAGGAAGTGACAGAGCCAGAAACTGAATTCAAGTTTGTGTGCTAGCATACTGTTGCTATAAATCTCTCTGTAAAGCTGAAGATAAATGTTAGGGTAGATCTCTGAACATTTTTTGACCAGTGAGAAGAAAATTTTAGTAAAACTGTAGATAAGCAATTTAAGGTAGGATATAATGTTGGTCTCCCCTCTCTTCTTACAAAAAATCTAGAAATTAATCATGTAGATTTTCTACTGTAACTGAATTAGGGAGATTATATAAACATGAAACAAACAAAACAAACTCAACCCTTTTGGCTTTGAAGTTTGGTTTCTGTGCTTGAGATATTAACTCCTATGATCACTATTCGAGACTTTATTAACATAGAGAAAAGCAAGAACACTCAGAAGAGCCAAGTTCGGATGAAGCACTCACTCTCTGACCAGTCTATGTTCTCTACTTCCCTTTCACCTGTCTGTGTTCTGGCATTTCTCATTAGCACTTCCATTAGAAAGTAGGGTAAGAAAAAAGCAGCGAAGTACATTGCCTTTGATTCTGTCTTTATTAATAGCTCTAGTAAATTATCTTTTGCCAGGGATATTAGAAAAAAGTACTGAGAGTTGGAGTTATTTACAGATTTTTAAAATTCATTACCAATGGGTTAATCGGAGTTAACTAAGAATAGGTAATAAAATCTACTCAGTACAACTTATGGTAAGTTACTTTGTACTTCAAAAAATTGGAAATGATCACTAAAATGCAGAGTTTTATTTACTTGTAGATTTCCATCAGCTATGTCACTGTTAGTCTAGTGCTTCAGTACCATGGGTAACACAGAGATACCCCCTTGGAGTAAAGGGGGTAAAGCTTTATTAAGCCAGTGTTCTTTTTCAATGAATTTATGTTCAGCCTTTGCTCCTTGAGCTGCACTAATCATGCTCTAATATGCCTTACGTATACTTAGAGCACCCTATAGTAAAAAAAAAAAAAAATCCAACAATTTGGACTTTCCATGACAATCACAAGTTTTGGATTTCACAAAGCTTCAGGCTAAACATAGACCTTACCATCACCACTGAGCAAAAAGGACCAGCAAATCATGGAGAAATTCTGACTGAAAATAAAACCTGTGTAATTATAAGAAATCAAATATTCAAGGACAATCCATTTAGCCTGAAAGGAACAATGTAAACTTTACTACTCTACTAAACTGGCTGTTTAAATTCACATCCTCAAAAGACACAGTAGGAAAAACCAACAGGTAGACTGTGAAAACTCCTGTAGATTATTTTGCCTTCCATTGTCTGACTATTTTCAGCAATAACTGCTTAAATTTTGTGAGTTTTCAGCAATTCTTAAAAAGCTCAAAAACTGCACAAAGTAATGCATGAGAGGTAAGACACTCCCCTAACCCCACCAATCTCAATGCCACAAAGAGAAATATACTGGGGATGATCTCTTGACTTTTGGATTGCCTTCAGGAAAAATGTAGTAAATGCAGTAAATACAGTAAATGTAACCACCTAACCAGGGAATCAACTTCAACAGAAGTCTCTCCAGCTTCCTCTTCAATCCTTCAGGAAATCATTCTCCCCACCCTAACACAGTCTATCTGACAGACAATCTCTAATGAATATCCTGAGCCAAAACAAAACAAGGGATCTAATAATTTAGAGGTTTCACCTACTTAAAACTATTACAACAAGCAGGAAAATCCAACATTAAAAGATGTCCATCTTGGAGCCTAGCAACTGCTGCCGGTGCTACCCAATCTCCAGTATGTGCTAGTGCAGCATTCAGGAAGCAGCACCCTAATAACAGGGCCACATGCACTGTTTACTTCTCTGAGTAAAAACACTGCCCAATTTTCTGTATTTTTAGTATCTGAAAAACTGTCCCCTTTTTTGAAAAATCATTTCTCAAACATAAACCGGTTTTATTATTTCTCTTTGTGAAATGAAACTATTTAACAAGTACTTGGTGAAAATAAATTGAATCTCTTTATGCCAAAAGTTTAAGAAACTATGAGTACATCTTAATAAGATAAGTTACTCATAAAATGCTATTTTAAATTGTTCTGTATAATCTTCTGCCCTACCAATATTATGGAAAACAGTCCTTTACCATACCAGGTCTCTTTGCTAACAAAATCTCATATGCATGAAAAAGCAATTTGGTTTTTTAGGCTGATGAGATGATGATCTCACTCAATTTTACTGGTGCAATAATATTCACACTGTTAAGTCATTCAAACTTACACCTTTAATGATATAATATGCAAGTAAATAGTATTTGAAAAATACTTCCCAAAGTAAAAATCTACACTGAAAAATACTGTTTCCTCAATGCAGTGTAATCTTTGCAGGCCAGAAATCAAAGCAAGAACAATCATTATGCAAAATACAAACATTTATATCATATAAATATTAGGTCCCTTGACCTAATACCACATCATCAAATATTAAATGATCCTATACATTTAAAATGAATAGTCCTAAATCAAAACTAGAAGACTGAATTTTGTGGTTCACATACCTGAACCTCGCTTGTCCTCTGCTTAATAGTATCTTCTTTCTCCTTAAGGTCTTGTTCCACATTATTCTTTTCCCTAGAAGACCAGCAAACAATGCAAGAATATTTGAGAACATCAGCTACAGCTGGTATGGTTATCCATCCTCCTAATCCTGAATCGCTTTTTAAATACATAGTGAAACATTCAATTTTTAAATGAAGGGCAGATTTTTCTACCCTATTTTAATTATTTATGGACCAGAAATCAATATAAGCTCTGTTTGTAAAAAAAAATTTGCCTTCTCACTAAAACGTGATGAAAAGAGAATAGATTAAAAAAGGAAGAGGAGAAAAATAATCAATGAAACACTCAGGTTTCACTGATCTCACTGTTGCTATGGAAATACTGTCCAATGAAAATTTTTGGTCAGGAAAAGGAGGGGTTGCATCAGCTTTGTCCAGTTAACCCTTAAGTGTCATTGTCAAATTAAATGAAAATGGCTAATAAAAACAGCCAACAATCAAGCAAAAAGATATTTACTGAAGCGTTAATTCCCCCTTAAATAACTGGTATGCATCAGTTTTAGAATGAAACAACAGAGAACATGGAAAAGATTGTTAAAATATAGGTAATTTGCTCTAACAAATACCACATCTGCTCAGAAAGGATATTTTAGGACCACATATCAAACTCAATTGACCAAATACATACAACAATGTATACTAAGTAAAAAAAAGAACCACCGTGGCATTTATCTCTTCTACTCTTCAAATCAAACATTTTGGGTTCCGCTTTTACTTTGAAACATCATATCTGAATTCTTCCCTGCTTTAATCACACCTGGGATCCTATGAATGAACCCCAACAACCTCAGACCCAAAATTATAAAATGTACCAAATTTAAGTGCCGGTTTGTACTGAAATCTCTTTCTTTCTCTCTCTCTCTCTCTCTCACGCACACACATAGCGTTCCCTTCACTTTCTTTTCTACAAAATGAGGAAAACCCCCCATAAAATTATGCAATCCATTTTTGGGGTGGGGGGAAAGGTAAAAGAAAACAACACGGAGAAGGGAGGATGGCATGAGAAGTCCTCCGGACTAAGTACGGCAGTTTCTCCTTTGAGCTTTATGACCAGGTTTCAGTTTCCGTCCCAGACATAACCCAAAATGCAAGCTCAGGCTCCATTTAGCTCTAGCATAAAGGAAAGTGAGAAAATTACACAAAAGCAGACACTTAGGGAACAACTGAATGCTTCATTTATATTTCTCACCTATTTGAGGTGAGATTTTAAATGTAGACAAAAATCAACTATTTTGGACATGTGGGCATAATGTTCTTAAGATTTGTAGGAAGAAAGCATAGGAATAAAGCTGTTTGTATACAGTTACTTTTGAACACTTGAGATGGCCAAGGAGCTCACTAACAGTCTGTCAGATGGGTCACAATGTGGGTCCTGATGTGGTGGAGATTTTAAACAGTCCCTCACCACGGGAATCATTGTTGCAACCAGTTCCTTCTATACCTCAATCTATTTATTATGCAAAGGCCATCGCCCACCTCCAACCCTTATCTAATTAGATAAAGTCAAAAAACAGAAAAACACAGGGGAAAAAATCTGAAAACAGCAGACAAATTCTGTAAGCTCAATCCTGGAATTTTTTTCTTTCCTCCTTATGTGAGCAGATGAATGTTTTCAGTCTTGTTGCAGCATGTTAGAAATAAGTCACACGAAAATCTTGTCCCCTCCTCCCACCCCAAATCCTCAGCGGCATTCCACACACGGTCAACACCAATTCAGCTCCTCATTTCAACAGTAAATAACAAAAATAGAAAACATTACACAGTGTTGCAGACCAGCACTGCACACAAGTTTGTATTGAATTCTTTCTCTTCTGCTGTTAAACTGCTCACTGACAGTGTCTGCTGAGATCAAACATGCATGCAGGAAAATAAAGGCTGCAAAGAAAGCAGTGAGCTGATTCAAAGTAGCCAAGAGAGAAGAATGGGAGAGCAAAGAAAGGAAGTGAAACTGGTAAAAACGGAGACAGTTCATAAAGGACTCTCACCTATAAGGAGCAACCACAGTCTACATTTGGGTAAAATGGAGGAGGCTTGAACAGTATAAATTTCTCTTCATAATTTGCAGTGTATGGGGGAGTTAGGAGGAGGAGAGAAAGTGGTAGTGATGCTCCAAACATGTCCATTCTCAACAAAATAAAATACGGGGATCTTTAGGCATTAATTCCTTTTAGTACAAAGAACAACTAAATTCCACTTTCCATGCATGTTTATAAAGTAAAATTCTGGTATCATAGTAATTTCTTTTATTATCAAAACCAAGTACTATAACATTGCTAAATAGAACACTTGAAAAATTAACTGTTCAGTTGTATCACTTGCTATAAAAAACATTATTGGGCTCAGCACCCATAGCACAGTGTTTACAGCGCCAGCCACATACACTGAGGCTGGCGGGTTCAAACCTGGCCTGGGGCAGCTAAACAACAATGACAACTGCAAGAAAAAAATAGCCAGGCATGCGGTGGGTGCCTATAGTCCCAGTTACTTGGGAGGCTGAGGCAAGAGAATCACTTAAGCCCAAGAGTTTGAGGTTGCTATGAGCTGTGACACCATGGCACTCTACAGTAAGACTGTCTCAAAAAAAAAAAAACCATTATGGCCAAAAACCTATCCTATAAATCAGACTGAAAGTCAAATAATTTTCTCATTGACTTAGATTACATTTTTCAAAGATGCCAAATTGTTATCCTGTTTTCTTGCCTAACTTCTATAACTATTTTTCTCACTTCAGGCAAGTAAAAATATCTAAACATACGTTTAGGTACACTACGGATGCTTGGCCATATTTCTTACAATTGCTCCTCTTTTGAACAACATGTATATAATATTTTTCTACCTGTGATGGATGCATAATCAACACAAATCATTCTGTTAACATTAGTATTAAAAATTTTTAAACATCATTCTTTTTCCAAGGATCTGTGTCACAATAAAAAGCAGTATTTATACAAAGCTTCCCAAGGAGCCCCCAATATATGCAGAAAAGACAGATGTAAAGATGTAATTCAAAAGCAGGTGTGAGAATTTTGCCCAAACCACTCATTCTGGATGTCATGATAGGAAAAACTAAAGCTATTGCCTTCCCATGAGTAATAAAAAGGAAAGGAAAAAGAAATTATTCTATTCCTTTATTTTAGACCACCACCCTGGCCCTATGTACTCCCAAGACATTTACAAATACTGAGGAATCTGCAAGTACCAAAGCTATAAAGAGAGGTCAAGGACAGAGGTCCCTGGTTGACAGTTCGGAGTCTGTGGAACCTCGTATCTGAACCATCAAGGGAAGCAAAGCCCAGCTAGGCTTTCAGAACCCTAAGGTCGATGACTGCATAAACCTAATGCAAAGTAGTCAAAATCTATTCACAACAGTCAGGCTGAGGAACTTGTGAGTCCATATAATTCACTTGCATTTTCTCAAGTCCTGTGTATGGGGAACAGAGAATGAACCATCTGAGAATTCCAATATTATTGTAGAGACAAGATCAAATCACCTTCAAAGTTCTTCCCAGAAACAGTTTTATGTCTTTTTTTCTGAACATAAGCATCTATTGTTTTATAACCAGAAAACAATAAAAACTAAAAACCATTGAAAACTAGAAAGCTGTGAAAACTCATGCTCTATTTTTCAATCCTGAGATTGATAAAAAATATTCTTAGGACACATTAAAAAATGCTCGTATTAGGTCAGGCGCAGTGGCTCATGCCTGTAATCCTAACACTCTGGGAGAAGTGGGTGTGGTGCTTGAGCTCACAAATTCAAGACCAGACTGAGCAAGAGCAAGACCCTGTCTCTACTAAAAATAGAATTGAGGCAAGAAGATCACTTGAGCCCAAGAGTTAGAGGTTACTGTAGGCCATGCTCTCATGGCCCCTACCCAGGGCAACAGCTTGAGAGTGTTGTCAAAAAAAAAAAAAAAAACTGCTCATATTATTAAGTAGCTTAACTGTTAAGTTCCTTTATAAGCAAATAGAGAAAGGCAAGGTAGTCTCACTATCCAGTCTTCAGGAAGACATCTGGATCTCATGGAGAAAAAGAAAATGAACTGGCCAGGTGTCGCAAGCAGTTCATGACTGTGAACTTAGCACTCTGGGAGGCCAAAGCAGGAGGATCCCTTGAACTAAGGAGTTCAAGACTAGCCTGAGCAAGAGCAAGACCTCCTCTCTACTAAAAATAGGAAAGTAGCCAGACATTGCAGTGGACACCTGTAGTCTCAGCTCCTGGGGAGGCTGAAGCAGGAGAATCACTTGAACCCTGGAGTTTGAGGTTACTGTAAGCTAGGCTGATGCCAGGGCACGCCAACCTGGACAAAAGAGTGAGATTCGGTCTCAAAAAAACAAAAAGGGAATAAAAAACTAGATACCTGGATTCTAACCTGGCTTTGCTGAAAAACAGTTGTTCTGACTCTGGTTAGGTTAGGTCACTTAACTTCAGAGCCTTCGTCTTATTTTTCATATGCAGATGCTAATATCTACACTATCTTAGGATCTGTAAGGTAAAATGTACAAGATGTCATATAACTAAGAAAAAGAGCAGACTTTCAGCCTAAATATTAACATTATCTAGAATTTTAAATAATATTGATGGAGTATATTTGAATTTCTCTTTTTTTTTTTTTTTTTAAGAGACAAGAGTCTCACTTTGTCATTCTTGGTGGGGTGCTGGGGTGTGATAGCTTACAGCAACCTCCAGCTCCTGGGCTTAGGCCATTCTCTTGCCTCAGCATCCCAAGTAGCTGGGACTACAGGCTCCCACCACAACACCTAGCTATCTTTTTGTTGTTGTTGTTGCAGTTTGGCTGGAGCCGGATTTGAACCCACCACCCTCAGTATATGGGGCCGGCCCCCTACTCACTGAGCCACAGACGCCGCCCATGTTTGAATTTCTTAAAAAGAATTATGGGTTTTTAAAACAAGTTAGAATACATTGATCTAATAGTTGCACAATACATAACATGATTACTAAAAATCTCTGCCTCAAACTCTTGTCTAAGTATCATTCAGAAAAATCTAATT